ACTCATTGAGACCCTTCCTTCAGTAATGCCATGGATGTGATATAGAGGATTTCAAGGCTGTGATACCAATTCCATTAATATTTACAGTTTTATGCTGCTTCTAAGGAGGTTCCCAAGGACAAAGGTGTAGTTGACTCTAAAAAAACTGCTGTCACACTTGAGGACAGTCGTGGAAGGTGCAGAAAACACCTGAAACTTGGAGGGGCACCAAGACTGGGTATTCCCTGATGTAGAGGGCTCGTTCCTGAGCCCAGTCAGTACTAGAGACAACGTTCATCTCTTTTAGTGGGCACTTTCAGAAAGCAAGCAGGCGCTCACCATTTTATTACTTTCAACATGCTGAATGCCAGATTCCTTTGCAACTCCCCAAAGTCTTGCTGCTAGTAGCTAGCTTTAAATCCATTTCCATTATTCCCCCACCTTCCCTTTTTATTATTACAGTCACTATTTTTTCAGAAGATGGAAAAAAATCCACTCTTCTTTTGGTTTATTCCACTTCCAAATCTTGCCCTGTGTATTGAGACTGTCCACTGCTTATGCTGAGGGGTTCAGCAACTGAAATCTTCTCCCATGGGCCCAAAGCCACCGCCAATAATAGGATCATTGCCAGCGAGGGTGTAGAGGACTCTGGATGCTGCTGGGCCTGCCACCTTGTGTGCCACAAGTAACAGCAAGTCGGGCATCTCATCTTTAGCCCTGTAACAGAGTATTTAACCACAGCTCAACATTTGTCTCTGACCTTCCTGAGGAAGTTAAGAACTCTATACTCGCTGATGGTGTATATTTGCTTTCACAGTGACCCTGCCAGCTTCTTCTGCTCTTGTATGGCTGGGACACAGAGCTAGCACTGCTTTGCCTGTTGTCCACAACCACATAGCATGAGGACTAGGAAGAGCCTTTATCTCATAATATATAAGTCAATATTGTCAACTATCACACCAGGCTCACTTGCCACGGGAAGAGTTTAGTATTTGGCTCATTCAAAAAACACATCATTACTCAGTAGGGGGAAAAAAAGAAAATAGAGCATGGCCCAAACTGAAAAGAATATAGGAGCCAAAGCAAATTGGCTGAGGAATTAGGATGACCACAAGCTATAGGAAAATAAAGCTCAAATGAACGTACTGCATTGAGGAAACTAAACAGAATTAAGTTATTTCCAGCTCCAAATTCTGAGTGCATTGGACAGGAAATGACAGGCGGTATCGGATTAGCTTGGCTTCATCTAGGTTTCTTTGATAAGATAACTGATGTTCTAAGCCCAAGAAAGATTTGGTCTGTCTGGAGTTCAGTAGAAAGCCACATGGGAGTTCATTAGTTGAGATGAAGAAGGTGAAGGCTGGTAAATGAATTGTAAGAGAGCAAGGGAAATGGATAAATAGGAGATGACAATGAGCTATGCTGACCAATTTTATTTAATATTTTCAACAATGACCTTACCATAAAAAGCATACTAATGAAATTTGCCAGTGACACAAATTTAGGTTGGATCAGCAATAAAGAAGATTAGAAGGTTAGACAGAATTAGAGTAATAGAAACAGAATGAAATTCAGCAGCATACAAAGTTAGGTCACAACAGCCTAATAAAAACCTTGTGCTACAGCATAGGAGCTCATTGGGGTAGAAGTAGCTGGAGAAGACTGTGGGCATGCTGTCTGAATGTAAGATGACAACAGGCTGCTACAGTGACGCCCATGAAAGCAATCAAGGAACTACTTTGTCAAAAGCATGCAGGTAATGCCTGGGGGGAGGCTACAGGACACTGAACAGCTTTGACTACAATACTGCTTATAATTTTTGCTCACATGAAGGGGACCGGTGAAGCTTGACTTGCTTCTGCTAACAAATGAGAGCTGAGAATGGACAGAAACCCATTAGTGTCTATAAATACATGACAGGGATAAATGCCAGGAAGGGGGAAGATCTCTAAGTGAAAATAGAAGATGCTGGCAGAAGAATAAAGGCATGTGAGCTTTTCCTGGATTAACTTAAAACTGGATGTCAACAGAAGATTTTCAGCCAGAGGAATGATGTTGTATGAAGAACAGTCTCCCTGCTGGCACAGTGGGTCCAAACTCCCATTTTAAGAGCTTGCTGCATTCTTACAGTGTCACCTGGTCACCTCCAGGATGCTCCACACTGAAGTGTTAAGAGCTTAAAAGCAGAGACCTGGTGAAGCCCCTGGTACTCAAACCAACTCATTATTTAAGTGCTCCCACGACGTCCTGCACGCTGCGTTGGCAGCGTCCCACACTTCTGCCAGCATAGGGAAGAGGTTCTGCCTTCTGTCTTCCCCGGTGCCTACAGAACAACTTCGATCTGTTGCTCAGGGCACTTGTTTGTCAAGTAGAGGCTGATAAACAGAGCAGGCTTGGCCGCTGTAGGACACGGCCTGGTGTGCCGCCTTAGGTTTTGAACTCAGGCTACATCAAAGCACGCTCTTTGATCTCACCCTGTCTCTGGCTTTCTAAGGAACCTGTCACCGCGGCACACAGGACTTGCAGATGTTGCTGGCCCACAACGAACATTTCCGTCAGAACTGAGAAATTACTGCATTTTTCTGTCTGTTCACAGTAACTGCTATTCCAGCCTAGAAAATGTCTGTGCGTACAGTCCATGCTTGCGGTGAGTAACACAGTGTGGTTTTGTGCAAACCAAGACAGCTCTGGGGGCGCTCCGGGTGTTACCTTTGCTGGGACACACAAAGGACCTGCAGGCACATTAGAAGGCTGCGTGTGTGGTCTCAGATCTGGATTTCTCGCAGCACAAGTATTAGCATTAATCTGCCTAGCGTATGAAAATAGCTTTGTAGGACTGCAGGAGGAGATATCTGCACTCCCTCACCCTTCTCCAATGACAGCATCACACAACATAGCATCACAACCTAAACTCTTCCAAATGCAATCTCAGCGCTAACAACTAAGGGGAACTGGAGCTGGGGCATCTCATCTGCATTCGCTGACATTGACACAAGGCAGAAAGGCAAGAAGTAGTTTAAAGACCTAAAAATAAACCCAAACAGATGCAAGTCAGTGAACTTTTTCCACAGACCTCTCTGCTTTCAGTGCCTTTTCTATTTTAAGCTTTGAGCCTTTGAAACAACACAAACCAAACCACTTGTAAGTGAATGGACATTTGATAAACAGGAGGAGGAATACACCAAATCCCACTAACTACATGCTAAGGTCAGACACCTCCTTTCATGTTGCATTTGTGCTTTTAACTAAATTGCCAAATGCTGACTGACTCCACCTTCTTTCCCAACAAGAAGGTAAGTCTTAATTTCCAAGACAGATGCATGATACCTGTGTAACGGGCTCAGTCGAGGAGCAGTTCCATGCAGCACTCCCTCACGAGGTGCCTGCCTCCCCCTGCTGCACTGCGAGGGGCTCACATCCCCACAGCAGCAGCTCCAGCCCCCCAGCCCAGCGTCTCCTGGGCACCCACCCTCTCCTCACTCATTTAGCTCAGCGTTTAGCTTGACCCATGCCCCTGAGAATACTGCCAGCCCTGGAAAACGGAGCACATCACTCATCCTGAGGAGGCAAAAAATGCCCATGGCTGTATCTTTAAGGAACAGTGGTTTAAAAAACAAAGCACAAAGCTCAGCATTTTTTTTCCCAATAATTATGCATAATAATTACTGCTGTATGATGTTCTTTGCAGAGAAAGCTTCTGTATAAACAATATTTAGAGAAATAAAGTGTGAATCTGATGTGTGATATGGCAAATTAGATGTATCACTCCAGCAGAAATATGAAAACTAAGCCTTTTGTTATGCAAACTCTCAGACCTCTTCTTCCAGACTACATTTTTTTTTTTTCCAATAAATAAACTTAAAAAGAAGAAACCAAGATGATATTAAGAGCTGCGTTGACTGTCAATGAACCCCTGACCTGTGTGATGAACTCAGTATGCTACAAAACCCATTTGTGTTTGCACATACCCCTAGAGCTCTGACTGTGCTGGGGACAGCTCCCATCAGCTCTGCGGTGGCCAGAGCCCAGCCAGGCGTACAAGCCCCTTCAGCCAGCCTCACCACCCTCCTCCTGCCTTCTCAGGGCTGGCATTTCCACATGTCCACAAACAGGACAGCCTGCAGGCAGCACGCCCTGGGTTCAGTCCTCTGAGCTAACGGGAAGGCCTGCTACCAACCTTCTCCCGTTCCTTGTTCTTGGTCCCCAAGGCACGATTGGGCCAGCCGCAGCAGGGAGCCCCTTTTCTACTCGCTGCACCTTTCCATTTCTTGGCGAGCTTTATTTGGGGAGTTCAGAAAACCTCGTGATGATTCTCAGAAACACACTGCAGCAGACTTCCAAGGGGACTTTTTGTTGGTTGGTTTGTTGTTCTCTTAATCAAATAAACCTAATTCACATAGAAAGTATCTGTTTGCTCTTTGTGTCTGGAAAAACATAAGAATTATAATGTTAACATTTCCAAATGGCAAAAAATGAATTTCAAGTAGCTGGCAATGGAAAAGCTTGATAAACACATGCTGGCTGAAATTCACTTCTCTTTCACACCCACTACTCCTGAACCCCATATTAACCATATGCTTTTGCAGATTAATTCTGTGCTTTAGTTTAAAATCTGACTTTTTACAATGCAGCTGTAATAACCTGAAGTTTCTGGAAATTTTAGTTGACGCAAAGAAACTGAACTGGGAGATTGGCAAATATTTTAATTAGGCTTAGCATTTGTCACGTGTCACAAAACACCTCCAGTACTTCAAGTATGGTGTAGCAGCAGCATTGCCCTGACCATCATCCTAATTAATTACTGCTGGCTTCAACTGCATTGGCGATTTTGTATTCATAGTTATACAGCCTCTGTGGTTAATATTGTAGAAAATCAAACGTGCATATTGCAGACGTCCACTTGATGGCCACAAATTAAAGTCTGGCACACGTTCACATTTTCAGCCTCAATGTTGAAAGGTATTTATTTATTTATTTTTAAATATATATATATTTTAGGAAGTTGCTTCAAATTGCTGGTTCTTTTCAATTTGAGTTGTCCTGCTTCGACCAACAGGTTGGACCCTGTGACCATCAGAGAACCCTTTTGTTTTAAGGGATTTGTCAACAGCAGCAGTCATTTACGAGCTTTAGTTACAGCCCTGCGCGTTACCTTGTGTGGGTTATGATTGTAACTATTAAATCACTGGGTCTCTTAACCAGCAACTGCATGAAAGAAATGTTTTCATGTAATTAAATGGCTTTTAAATACCTTCGGCCCTGAACATAATGTACAAATCCACAAATGAAGTACAACTGCCACCAGGACTGTAACTTGTGTTGCATGCTGAGCCTGAACTTCCACCAGGCTCACAAGTCGGGTGGTTTCCTTTTGGCTTTCCGCAGGCATTCAGCCAGGACCTGGCAAGGGCTGGCCATGGGTACCGAGCACCAGGCTCTGTGTTCAGGGCTCTGCATTCACAGAACAAAACACATCTACTGCAGACGTTTCCATTTTAACCCAGAAATAAGCAGCCAAAATGTAACAGACAGATCACATCTGTAGAGTACAACACGCTGACAACATTCACTGCTCTTTTTAATAATGTTCTTAATCCAGTTCCCCCTGACTCAGTCCCTGCCTGCACCATGAGAGCATCTCCCTGGCCTGTTCAATTAAAAAGGCAGAAAGAGTAAAATGTAAATCTTTTCTCTCTCCTTCCCTCCCCTTATCTCCAGGGTACTTGTACATTTCCTGCAGGAACATTTTTTTGAAAAATGATTTGTCAAAACTGAAAAGTTTGGAGGGGCAGTCAGTTTTGCTGACTCTTCAAACCTTGATTTCTTGCCAGTTCAGTTTCTCACATGCTGAGAAGTGCCAGGGCCTTAGAAACTATGGCTGGATCGGTCTCTCCAACATCTTTTGAGCTCTGAGCTTCTTGTTAGAGCATCAGGCAAACAGCCAGTGCTTCATGATGCAAAGGGGAACCAGACAATTGTTTTTAAACACTTCTGGTCCCTTCAGATGAGGACTTTTGTTTCCAGTAAATTGAGCAATGGTAAGCTTCATTCCAATGCAGAAAGATTTTGTTTTGTTTCTCTTTGGGCATGGAAGTCTTGCTGCTGTAAGATCTCTCACCATATAAATACGCACATGAAGGCATGAAAAGGCTATCTTCTGGTTATCTGCTCAGCAAGAAAGCAGGCAATAGCAGGCCATTTGACTGAGAAGTCTACATACATACGTAGGCAGAGTCTCGGCTTTTCAAACACCCTTCCCTTCTGCCAGGACAGAAAGCTTCAAAGCACTGATGAGGCACGCAGGATCTATTTGCTCTACCTTTAAACAGAGGCCATGAATGACACAGTCTTCTAACACATTTTTCCACTTGTGCTTTTGTCCCTGATTTGCAGCATCTTCTTTCCCCCTCTTACATTACACTACCTTTTTTACATTAACAGAAAGAAAAAAAAAAAAAAAAAAAAGCACAAAAAAATTCACCTCGGAGGGCATTCTCAATACAGCAATGCTCTTGACAACATCAGGGCAGATCTGTGAAGCCTTTGCAATGTACGTTTATTCTGAATTCACTTCCAAATGCAGTGGTGTCACACAGACAGCAGCCTTCCTTACTCAGTGTTTCTGACAGCCACAGGACACCACCCACCACAGCCATTAACACCAGCGGGGAAAACCTGGATAAATCCCCTTCATTCACAGAATTTCTAGGTTGGAAGAGACCTCAAGATCATCGAGTCCAACCTCTGACCTAACACTAACAGACCCCACTAAACCATATCCCTAAGCTCTACATCTAAACGTCTTTTGAAGACTTCCAGGGATGGTGACTCCACCACCTCCCTGGGCAGCCCGTTCCAGTGCCTCACAACCCTTTCAGTAAAGAAATTCTTCCTAACATCTAACCTAAAACTCCCCTGGCGTAACTTTAGCCCATTCCCCCTCGTCCTGTCACCAGGCACATGGGAGAACAGGCCAACCCCCACCTCTCTACAGCCTCCTTTAATGTACTTATACAGCAGAAGCTGGACAAGCTAACTCGCACAGCTAGCTTTCCAGCACTTTTAAAAAAGGACCCAGGATGAGGAAAGTATCCCTGCCAAGCTCCAGTTTGCTCCCCTGCTAGCACAGCAATTATTTCTCATGTTATCTGTTACATCAACTTCAAGAAGCTCCGGCCCTTGATGGGGACCCCACTGTTACCCAATGTGAGTACAGGCAATAAAAAGACAGGTCCTTTTAGCAACAGGGCCTCGCTGCTGGCCTTGGAGCAATCTGACAGAGACACACAGGTTTTTCCTCTCGCCTTTGCTTTGTTTGACAACACAAAATCCTGGGAACTCAAAGTCAGATCCTGTAGCCATTTTTACTGAGAAAATTCAGCAAGACAACACGTTGACATTGAAGACAAAGAAAACAGGAAAAAGACAACGATGTCCTTCCAGCTTATGAAGTGTAAGAGGATTTTGAGCATTTCCACGAGCACCAGGATGATGCTGAATACTTCCAGCAGGCAAGTAATGCGACCTGGCGGCGGCGTTCACGACTGACTGTGCACTGCACTCGCTCAGCTCTACCACATGCAACGGCACGAACATCCCTCTCGTGAGGTTCCTACTCACATGCTGCATTTGAAGCTTTGTCTTTCAAACATTATCAAACAAGACACCGAGAAGGCCTTTTGATGTGATTGGAAAGCAGATGTGGGTAGAGCCGAGCCTCAAAGAATGACCAAACCCCATGCCATTTATTCAGCATTGCTGCTTCTAGAAATTGCTTGGACATGCTGTCAGAGCTGATCCAGGAAAAACTGTCTCAAGCATTCCTGAAATCGGCTAAGTGGCAAGATCAACTGCCATCAAGGAAAATGCTTTCAAACAGTGGGAAGCATTTAGGAATACAATAAGTGAACTCTATCTTTGGGACCATTTTACACTAATACTTGTGTCTAGACTGGTACAAACACAGAGTCCTTCACTGGGAGAGTGTGTTTGTTTAAATAGGAATATAACTTGAGCTGTCATCCCACTGCTGCCTTTGGGCAGCCACAGAGATAGTCAGTATTTCTGCCCGATCCCTGCGTATGGAAGTTGCCAGGAAGAAGAGGTTCTGTGACAACAAGCTCTGGGAGAAGGGGCTACCGAGTCTGCAGCCAACATCTGAATTTATTTAGGATACACAAGGTGATGTGCAATACAGGCAGATACTGGATCAGTGTTGGTATTAGTACAGTATTTGGTACATAATTCTGTTTTAAGCCATTTAAAGGAAACCAGTGAATTAAGTGAGGGGGAAGCAGTGTGACCACGTGGGCGCAGAGCACTGAAAGGGGAGCGGGTAGGAAGCGCAAGGAGAGCCAGTCCGCCTCTACCAGCCTGTCCCTTGGTGGATGTTACCAAGCGGTATGAGAGCCCGCAGCACTTCGTCTTTATCGTGTCAGTTCGAATCTGCCTCAGATTGGTGATGGCCAGGAACAGTTGCTGCTTTAGCAGCAGGCCCGGCTCCCCTCCCTGCCCAGCACCACAACACCAATCCTGCTGAACACCACTAACTGCTGAAGGGTTTTCTACAAAGACAGAGCTGGCAACCCCCGCCCACCCCAAACCAAGAATGCTTCTGGTTTCCCTCACAGAAACAGTTTGGTGTGAAGTTCTGCTACTTTGTATCTAACATTATTGACTTAGAGTATTCAACCCTTCACATTTCAAGTTAGCATAAAAATATTTGTTTGTTCCAAAATTGTATTTTAAGGAAAGGAGTATTACTGGCCTTTCCACAGGAAAACAAGCCTTTTATTTCCGTCCAAAACAAATGCAAATGTAAAATTTCCAGGATATCTCAGGGATATTCCATCGGCTGAAAAAACACACGCAGAAACCTCAGTCCATCAGGGAGGACAGGCTGTCTGCAACATGGCATCACTGCCACATGCACTTAGCATCTTGGGAGGCATCTGAGTGATCATGGCCTGAAAGCATTGCAGTCTTGGGCAGTCCTTCATCTCCTTGCAGGTCAAGGCTGAGACCCGTACTGCCATTTCACAGGCAGTTATCTGTTTTGTGCTGAAAAGAGGAATTTATTCTCTAAGATTATCACTTGGGCACCTTCAGAGTGTTCATTATAGCCCACAAACAAGGCTAAGCGATGCCTACGCTGCAGCTGAGCAGGATGACTGCAGGGGGTGTAGACATGCAAGCAGCAGAGAGCTTTGTTACCAAAGCAGCACAGAGCAGAGTACACAAGATCATCTGGTGTTTGGGGACAAGGCACAGATCTAAGAGGGGCAGGAGGGTTACACGGAATGCTGCTCAGCAGCAGCTCTCTGCTGAAACCCCTCCTGGGATCAGCTCTTTAACACCACCAGTACCTACACCATGTATGGCTGCACAGGAACCATTGCAGTGTACACAAAAAATCTGTTTTGCTTTACTATTGAAGACTGATAACTATGCCAGAGGTATATGCTTATTCTCTATTCCCAAGATTACCTCATGAGTAGTATTATCTTCTAAAAAAAGTGTCATTCATAAATTATAAGCTCTGATCATGATTTTTTCAAATAGAGATAAAAACTATCATAGCAATTTTGACACTTTGAAGATTTATTCTTAAACTTCTCATACAAGTGGTAATTTTTCTTAATGCTACTGCTCTTTCAAGAATATGCTGCATTTATTGCTGAGAGAGGAATACTAGCTGATAGTACACTGAAATTGTTGCCTCAAGACAAATTGGCATTCATCATTCAAGCAGAAAAATAAATTAAGTGCAACATTTAGGCACTCTGCATTAGGTTGTTAAGAAAGTCAACAAAAGCAAAACAAATGTTATGTCAGCTATTGACTGCAGAAACTGAATAAATGAGTACAACACTTAACCAGTACTTATACAGCCATGGGATTCGCTATGTGCTTAGAAGTACGAAGGCTTTTAATAGTTTTTGTAGGAACCTGCAATTAGCTTCACACATTTAGATAGCCAAGGCCACATTTTTAGAACTGCACCTGCCCCTTTTTGCATTTCAGTTTGGCTATTTGAAAATAGAGCGATAACAATTTTATTACTATTGAAAATGATTAGACATTATTATTTTTGCTACAATCTGGTAGACTGTAATAACTCTCTTCAAGAATGCCCTTCATCCTGTAGGATTCAAGTGGGCTTACATATTTTATGAACACACAAAGCAGATTAAGACAGGGATCATTTCACACACCCATAGAATAAAGCCATATTTACAATGAAGAATGACAATTTTACTTTCCTCCAACACTTTAGCATGGGAAAGGGAAAGGGGAAATTCTAACATAGCGAAGTTCACCACTGGGATGTTTGTCACTAGGCACAAATCTTACCAACATTCCCTGAGGAGCAGAGATTGCTTGCCACTTGTACCCCACAGATGTTTAACCCCTATTAAACATTTTGTAGCATAGAAAGGTGTTTTGGTAGTCTCCTACCATGAAAAAGAGAAGCCATTTCACCAATAATTTACATAGTTTCATGTCTGACATGACATAGTACAACAGTTTCATGTCTACGCAGATATTCAATTGCCATCATCCTACCAGTGCCATTAACATTTCTTAAGTTCTCCTCAATGCCTACCCTGTGTTAACTTTATTAATTTTGCATCACTAGGAAATTTTGTCATCCTCCCACTCATCCTCCCTAACTGATTACCAATAAAGATGTTAAGCATTGTTCAATGCACAGAATTACAGCTCGCCCTTGCAGCTAGGTCCTGCTCTTGCAGAGAACTGACCAGCTCTTTCTCACCAGAAGACCACCTCCTCCTCCTCTCCCACTGCCCAGGGCCCAGGCAGAGCTGTGGTCCACAAGCGAGCGGCCAAGCTGAATTCCTCCGACATGGCCAGGGTTGGTACCACACAGACACAGCCTGAGCATTTGTACTGAAGGCTGCTTCCACAGACAGTTACTAGCTTATGCTCAGGTACAATTTTTGTATTATTAGGGCTGAAAGCCTCAGAAGTCTTATGCAATAGAACAGTGGCAAGGAAGCGACAAACACTTGCTCTCTCCTGGGCCTCCATCTGCCATCTCATCCCTCTTACCTTCTAGGAAAGAAAGGATACAAGGCTTCTCCCCAGCACCTTTCTTCTGCCTGAAGAAGGAGCATGACAGTTCTGTGGTTAGCTTGACCTCCTCCTCCCCTAGGATGCAGGATGTTCCTATATCTTCATTCTTCCTAATTTCTGTCCGTCTCAGCCTTTTTTCCTAGTACTGATCCAGAACTATGACCTGGTCGCCTCAGGTCACTACTCCTTTATGCTTCAGGACATCCTTATGGCCTTGTGCAT